CATTTTCACATTTGAGAACAAAAAAATAGAAAAAATAGACCTAAAGTTATTTCCGGTCAGCTATTCGACTACTTTACAATAAAAATGGGTCCCATAGTCTGAGAATCGTTTTTTCGAAATAAACGGCCTTTGCGACGCTGCCCCTCTCTCCACCCTAGTTGAGCCAGACCTGTATATACTTCTTGTTGTAGTGTTTCTCGTGCCAACAAGACTAATGGCCATAACCACCTTATCAACTTCATTTATTCTTGTGACTATGACCAACTTGTCTACCATCTCCCATCGTGGAAATCCGTTAGACAAACTTTGATCTCACATGTATTAACTAGCTTATTAGCCTTTGCTTCAAAGCTCTCTTGGGTTATTTTTTTAACTCATATTATCTATCTTTAGATGCCTTGCTTGTTTTTGTTCTAAAACTTTGGATTTATGTATCCTTCTCTTTGCACTAATATTTATGATTTATAAATCAAGTTTTTGGCCCAAAAAAAAAAGTGAAAGATATTAGAATCTAATCTTGAAATTGCAAAGAACGACTTGGTACTTTGCTATACTATTGCAAGGAGAAAATTTATCATAATACCTTGTTTCCTTATCATTTTCAATATAATACCAACAAAAAAAACAAAACTGATCAATTGTTTTAATTTTATAATAGTTACAATCATTTGTAAACGTAACATATAGTTCACCTTAAGGAATTTCTTTTTTCTTTTTCTCTCTCTTTAAGTTTTACCAAACCTAAATCCAAACTAATTTTAACAAGTATACATAAATCATAATTACCTCCTCATTTTCTCCGCCTTAATAACTGAAATAGCAATAAAAGAACTGTATGGTTGATAGTAGTTCAGACTTTTTTAATAAGAAAACTATAATCGTTAAACAATTTTATATTTTCTCATTTAATTTATTATTTGTAGCAAAACAACAAAAGAAAGAAAAAAACGTATGAATGCAAATACAAGACTTGTTTCTATCACTTGGTGCAACAACATTTGTTTCCGAAAGAAGTAGCACATCTCCCAGATGTGAACCCAGCCTTCCTACAATCCGCCGCACATTTACCATCACCGTACGTCGGCGAACAAGTGTTCTTGCACATATCATCAATTCTCCCAGAAGGTTTGATCTCTGCATGTCCACAAAGTCACGACAT